AGGCTCCAAATAAAGATAGATAGAACATTATTTTAAATAGTACTAATTGTTCATGCATTTGTAACAAGACATCATTTGCTATCTCTCCCCAAGATGTCTGTCCTATTTGACGATGGGTCAAGTTCCATACTCCATCAGTTTCCTTCCTTACCCTTTATTTTTACTAAGTTCAACAAACATTCCCACCTCACAGATATTGCCAGTGTGAACAGTATCACATTTCTTATGCCTTTTCCCAAGACCCATGGATTCAGAAAACAGAGATTCATCATCAAAAGCATTTTTGACCCACCATCAGGTTCCAAATCAATTACAACACACATTCAAAATCTGGACAGTGGCACACACCTGTAATCCCAGCACTATGGGAGGTTGGGGCAGAACAATGGCAAGTTCAAATCTGCATTGGGCAATATAGACCTTCTCTCAAAATAAAAAATAAAAAGGGCTGAGGCTGTAGCTCTTTGCAAAGGCCTTGGGCCCAATGTCCACCACGCCCTGTGCCAAGTCTGGACAGATGCCTACTTTAACTTGGGAGACGGGAGCAAGTGGGTCTCCTTTAAACACAAGAACTGTCCCCATCCCTCTGGAAAGTAAATTTCCAACATAATGGGTAGTTCTTAAATACTCATAGATCTCTTGCCTCTCTTACAATGAAGATACTTACCAAATATTAGGAAAGAGTCAAACTACAGTCAGAGCATATTGGATTTTAGTGTAGACTTAAGAAGAAAATCGGATTTCTCAAATTCAGCTAGTTGTTCTTCCTTGTAAGGGTTGTATTTATCTTTTGGACCCTCAAGAACAATGCCAGAATTGACCAGGAGTCAGTGACAAATCGCCAGTAGACACATCACGATGGGCAGAGTCATTCAAGTTGCTGGAAGGTGCTCTGATAGCAGAGTGGAAAGCAGAGGGATAGGATCAGAGTGCCACAAAGCATGGGCAGGAGGACACTGGAAATGTCAGAGCAGGGGGTGAGGTGCTCCTGAAGTCAGGCTGGAGCAGGCTCAAGTAGAAGAGGAAGAGCATAATATGAGAGATGAGGAGGCAAACACTTGGGGGCCAAGTGAATGTGTGCAGAGGTGCAAAGATGGAAGAGGGAGGAGACTGCGATGACATTCACGTTTCTGACTCCAGCATGTGATGCCATAAAAAGGGATCCTAAATACACACTGCTGTGATTTGAACATTATTTGTCTCCCAGTGCTTCATGTGCTGGGAGCTTGGTCCTTGGGGTAGCAATGTTGGAAGATAGGACCATTAGGAGATGAGGCTTAGTGGGATGTCCTTGGGCCTGGCAGCATGCCCATGGAAGGGACTGAGCAACCCCAGTTGCTCTCTCTCTTGCTTCCTGTTTATCTGATGTGAGCTCTTCTCTCTCATGTGTTCCTGCTAGGGTGTGACACAGCCAAGAGGGCCTTTAGCAGAGCATGCCAGTGCAATGCCCTCAAATCTTCAGGACTGCGATTAAAAAAAAAAAACTCTTCTATTTATAAAATTAGCCTGCCTCAGTTATTCAATTATAGTTGTGAAAATTGGACTAGTACAGACACACACACACACTGAAGCCTCTGTCAAATTGTCCATAACCCTGAGATAGAGAAAGCTGATTTTGATTTGGCAATAGAAATGTATCCTTGTGAGATATTTTGTTTGTAGTTAGAGCACGAGTCCTCACCACTGGCTGCATATTGAAAGCATTAAAAGAGTTTAAAATATGCTATGCCCAGGCCCGTGCTCAGCCCAATTAAATCAGAGTCTGAGTTTACTTTTTTTTTTTGATTCTTTGGCTTTTGGAGATAGGGTCTATGTATTCTGGCTGGCCTTGAACTTGCAGTAATCTTTGCCTCTGCCTCCCGAGTGCTGGGTTTATAAGTGTGTCCCACCATGCTCCAGTGAAGTTTTTTGAGGCAGGGTCTCACTATGTAGTTCAGGCTGGTCTTGAACTCACTAGGTACCCCAGGCTGGCCTTGAACTTGTACCAATCCTTCTGCTTCTGCCTCCTGAGTGCTGGGACTACAGGCATGCACCACAATACCTGGTTGAGTTTGTTTTGTTTTTTAACCAAGGAAAAATGGATTTAGTTAGTAACAAATTAAATATGAACATGAGGCAAACTTGAAACATAGCTCCTCCATTTATATTTCATTAAAACTCTGAATGACTAAAAAAAAATCTTCTAGCCAGGCATGGTGGTGCATGCCTGTAATCCCAGCACTCTGGGTGGCTGAGGCAGAACTGAAAGTTCGAGGCCAGCCTGGGCAACTCAGCAACTTAGTGAGATCTTGTTTCAAAATAAAAATGAATAAGGACTGAAGATGTAGCTCAGCGTGAAGGCCCTGAGTTCAATGCCCCATATCACACACACACACACACACACACACACACACACACACACACACACATAAATAGAGCCACACATGCACAAATCAGCTTCTACATTTTGGGATGCTGACAATTTCATATGCTGATTTTGATGGAGACTCAACTATATACCTTTTTCAAAACTCATTGCATCATAACTTAAAATTAGTGAATTTCACTGAGTCTAAATTGTACTGTAATAAAGCTGACAAAATATCCAAAAACTCTTTGGCTATTTTCAAGACTCCCTCATCTCCTGACCCCAAAGGTGATTCCTGTGTGCAGACAGAGCTGAGAACCACTGGGCAACAACATGGACACGGACAGTTATATCAGCACAGTATTGATTATCACCTGTACCCAAACCTGAAGGACTCATGGCAGAAACATTCGCAGCTTGAAGCTTCGTTTGGCTCTGCTTGGACCTCTGGAGTTTGGGGTGAGAAATGACCTGAACTTTGGAATGCACAGGTCTCCCGCAGTAAGAAAAAAAATACTACTAATAAAATAAAAGCCCATGGGGAAAGCATGGTGGGGCACAGCACAGGGAGCAAGGTGTCCATTCCATGAGCTTGCCTTCTGCCTGTGGAAGGCAGGAGCCCTCACACTCCTGTGTGCACCATGGTCACACTGCGATACCTGTCAGATAGATTCCCAGCTCCACTCCCTGGGTCAGTCAGAAGGTCTCGGTGTGGCCTAGGAGTCTGCATTTCAGCACATCGCAGGGTGGCTCTCACAGAGAGAGGGTTCATAGAACACACGCCCAGAAATTCTGAGAGGCCTGTGGGAGCAAGCGCCTGAGGGTCCTCCCTGGAGGGCATGTGCAGGGCAGGGCTTCCCTTAATCTCTGAATAGGTAGGTCTGAGGTGGAACCCAGTGTCAGCGTTGGAAATGCCCATCTCAGGGGGTCTTCATGGAAAAGAAATGGCTCTGCTCCAAGTTTTCTCCACATAATGGAAGACGGAAGTAAAGCAGGAAGGGCCCTTGGCTTAATTTCTCCTTGTTTCTACTGAAAGGGAAGCTGGGGGTTTTCCTAGGATGCAAGTCAGTAGGAAGTGCAGGGGCCAGGATGGAACCAAGCAGCAGCCTTGGAGACCTTCAGTTTTACCAAGAGTCCACCTCACAGTATCACTGGTTAGAAATGCAGGTTCTCAGGCCTAGCTCCACACCACATACTGCATCAAACACCTGGGGGCAGGTTCCTAATCTGTCACACACCCTCAGGTGATCCTGATGCTCAATCAGGTTTAAGAACCCTGGGACCAGAGACTCCAGGGCTTCGGTGACCACGGGCTTAGGAAAGCTTCCCCTCCTCCCCTGCATCACCTCGGGTTCTTTCTCATGGGAAAAGAAAAAACTACACATCACCCTCCTGTTGTCATGACTTGTGGTTGGGAAGAAGCTGCTGCACTTGGAGGAAGGGACTCCAGGCTTTGGGTAGTTGCCATCGGCCAGTAGGCTGCTTTCCCAGCTGACTTGGCTGTTTTTCTTTAAGCCTGGGGAGGGCTGCTGGAGGCACATGGGTTCAGAGGTTTCAGTTCATGGTCAGTTGATTCCACTGCTTCTAGGCCCCCGATGAGGCAGAACATCATGGTGGGGGCATATGGTGGAGCAAAGTAGCTCACCTTGGCAGACAGGAGGCCAGATTGAAGAGAGAAGGGAGGAGACAAGAGACACAGACTGAGAGGAAGGGGCCAGGCAAGATATAGTCCCCAAGGACAGGCTCCCTTCAACTAATCCCTAATCCCTTCAACTGGGCCTCACCTCCTGAGTTTCTTCCATCTTCCAATAATGCCATCAAATTATGAATCTACCAATGGATTCACTGGTGAAGCTGGAGCCCTCATGATCCAAAACATGCCACACTGGGGACTAGATAAGTTACTTTCCTGTCACTGGGACAAAATACTTGACAATGCAACTTAAAGGTTAAATTTTGACTCGTGGTTTTCAGAGGATTCCATATTTCACTGGCTCCAATGCAGACACAGCATAGTGGAAGGGTATGGTGGACGAATGCTGCTCACCTCACGGCAGCCAGGAAGCAGAGTGAGAAGGGAGGAGGCAGGCAGTGAGATATACCCAGCAAAGACACACAAAGGACAGTGAGCTGTCCCTCCAACCAGGCCCCATCTCCTAACAGCACATGAACTCACTCATCAATGGATCATGATCCAATCACCTTTCACAAGCCTCATCTCTGAATACATGAGACGTGAGGGGACATCTAGTTCTCAACCAGGTCAAGGACCACACTTCGAATACATTACATACTTCATATGTAAACAGTAACAGTTCTACACCAAGACCAGACTGCGTTTCAGAAAGAGAGTGCCCATGCTGCTTCCCACATCTCCAGAGATGAAGAGGCTGAGGCACAGGGCCAGGGCCGGCCCCGCGGGACAGGATGAGTTGCTCAGGTCCTTCTTCTCCGTTCCCAATTTGGACCTCTTCCGAGCATTCTGATCCAAGGGGAAGACTGACATGCTCTTAAAAGGAGCCACTGGGATCAAGAATAATCCAGACGTGTTGTAGATTCATTGCGGAGTCTTTAAAGGTTAGACAAGAGTTCACAAGTTGGAAATGAAAATTGGGGGACTTTCTTGGGTTAAATAAAAAGCACAATGTTATTGTATTTTCTTGTCAAATACTTTTACTTGAGGAAATAACTGAAGTATAATTTAATTCAACAGGAAATATCACACTTGGAGGGAAAACACAGAAAAAACTCTTAAGTCAAAGCCAAACATTCTTTCCAAGGCACAGAACTGACATTTTCAGATTGACAGCAGAATAAGCTTGTTTCCATAAAACAAAATCATGAGTCCAAAGTCTGCCTTTGAAACAGTTTCCACTTTGTCTCCATTTCTCAGGCTCAGGGAACGATGCTCGTGGCCTTTCTCAGGGCCAGGTAGCCAGTGACGACATCAGAAGGCAGCCTCCGAATGTAGGAAAACTCTTCGATGGTGCTGAACCGCAGCTTGCTCTGTGGGTCTGTGTAGTTGGCCTGGGTAAGAAATAGGCACAGGGAATGACAGAAAGTTGTTACTGGTAGTGATATTTTAACTGAATCACAAGTTTAAAATTTTTCTTCTATTTTACTGGAAGTGAAATATGTTCATTATGTTTTACTGTCATCACGAACACTAAATTGCTCACTTTGGCAAAGACTTGTTAATTTTCCAAGACTTGAGAAACACTTCAGAGTACAGACTGGAGGAAGAACCACATCAGACTCAGGAGCCTTCTTTTTGGTGCCTCAAGGGCTGCCAGCACCAAGTCCAAGATGGAATTCATGATAGTCATTCCTCTCTGCCTTCAGACTCCCTCCTCCTTCCAACAAATATTCCAGGTCTGGGTTCCTCAGGGCAGCAGATGCCCCAGTGCATGATGGGCCCCTCCCTGCTGCATCCCACCCACCCCCATGCATTCCTCTCCAGGTCATGCATGCCCTATCACTTCCACAGCTCCCTGGGTCATCGTATAACTGCAGTCAGGGTTATCTTTGTCACTCATAATTCTGATCATGTCACTCCTCAGCACAAAATCTCTCAAAATGGCTCCTCTCTGCTCTTGGGACAAAAGCCCAAGTCCTCAGAGTGGTTCCTTAGGCTCTGGGCCTCTCTCTCTCCTTCTCGGCCACACATCCCCACTCTCTGGTTCTGACCACCCCAGCCTCTTTCCTGCCATGCCCATCACGTTTTCTTTGGTGGAGACCCCAACCCTGTCTGGCCCACAGTGTTCAGTAATTACTCGTTTATCCTTCAGGGCTCAGTCTCACAACTCCACCTTCAGAGAAGCCTTATCTGTGCTCTCACAGGAGGTCAGGACCCACCCTCCACTCTACACACCACAGAGCTCTCCAGTGCAAGGCTTGTCTTTGTTCCTCTGAGGGTCGGTGACTGACTAAGGTTTAGCTCCACAAGAAGGACCATACTTTGCTTACCACTGTAGAGCAGCCCCAAGAGCACACTGAACAGTGCACAGGGAGCCTTCAGTCAAGTATCTGTACAACACAGGAATGGAGGAATGAATGAATGAACAAATAAATAGATGATGAGGACCATTACAGAAAAGAGAATCTGTTTCCCAGATATATCAAAATTCTCTTTTGTTCTGTTTTTTCCAAATGTGAAGTAGAAAAAAAATTTACTTACTATATATCTCAAAGCACATGGCTTCTATAGAATTTGGAAAAGAAAACACACCGGTGAGTAATTTTAAGCTCCTTTTTAAAAATTATAAAAGATACCATTAAAGTCTAGACAGATAATGTCCAATTACTCAAGTGTGGCTTGTCTGCTCCACTGTTGTCATCTGTGTGTGGACCCAGATTCTCAGTAACTCTGTGGTTTGTTGAAGGGGAAGAAGCAAGAAGCCAGAGGGAATTGAGTCATAGGTTTCTCATGCTCTAAAAAGTTTCAATCCTGCCACTGGGGATCTCCCTAAAGTATTCAGGAAAATGGGATTTATTCCTAAAAAGCTAAGAATAATTAAAGCTCACTATAAAATAAAACTTTGATCCTTTGGCTTACTCTAAGTATTACTTTTCTGTACCACACTTCCTTTAATCTGTCATTAAAGATAAGGGAAGGCTTAATTAAGAAAATCAGTGACAAGTCTCTTCTGAGGGAGAGCACAGGCTGTGAAGCAGTTGGAATAACTAAGTGGCAGGGAGGCTGCCCTGAAGTTTCAAGCTGGGTGCAGGCATTGCATCTGGCGTGGATCATCTGGACTTCACAGATAAACCAGCTGCGGCCTGGCTGTACTCTGTGGCTGCCTCACTCTAACCACCAAACTGTGCTGAGGTGGCCAGCCCCAGTCCAGACCTCACTGCCAAGAAGGCTGCTGAATAAACAATGTGGAATACAGAGATCCCGTGGCATCAACAAAAAGGTCACCAGAAAACAAAAACCATCTCCACAAATTGGAACAAATTGGACCTGACCCAGGAGCCAGCAACCAATTTTGAACAGAAAGAAGGATGTCAAGTGTTACCCTGGAGTTGAAGAAATGAAAACTTTAACTCTATAGTCCTTTCTTTTCTGATTCTGTCGCTTGAACCTAGATGAATCAAAGGCCACCTTCCTATAGGGAAACCAGCAAACAGCTTTAGGCTTTGTTGCTGCAGGGTGGGAGCAGGGGGTGACAGGCAGTGTTCACAGCTCCCATTTCACCTAGAGCCCTAACACTTCTATATTCTATGTCTTCCTGCCATGCACAAGCACAAGGGAGACAGTTACATGGCTGGCTGGGGACAGGTGTGTCAGTGTAAACACGAGCTAGGTTTACTTTTTTATTACATAACTTTAAATTACACAAGTAAAAAATAAATAAATAAATAAATTACACAAGTAATACAATGAGCCATGTTCACCTCTACAAAAGTTTGCAACATTACAAATAATTCTAAAGTCTTACCCTTTTGCCACCACCTTCCACCCAAAAATACTTTGCCTTGTGCTGAAGAAACCACTATTATGTGGGCATCTTTCTAGACTTTTAAAATTTATATCCTTGGCCAGGGATTTAGCTCAGTGGTTTCGCTGCCTGCTACACAAGCACAAGGACCCAAGTTCGATCCCCGGTACCAAAAAAAAAATTTATATCCTCACACACATAATAAACACCACAGAGAAATTACTCAAGAGAATTACTCTGGGAGTCTGTGTAGTGTGTGTGTGTGTTTATGTAATGGTACCACACTTTTTACACTGCTCTACATCTTTCTATCTACAACATATCTTACAACTTTACTCATGTTGTTAAATATGCGTTCGGCTCACAGAATACTATGAAAATATCCCTGATGATAGACCTTTATGTTCTTTCCAACATTTTGCTAATACAGTATCTCACAAGTATCTGAGTGAAGTTCCCTCTGCATCCTATTTCTGAGGGAGCTACAAGGAAAACTGTAGGTCATAGGCTTTTTGCTTTTTCACCTCAAAAGACAGTGCCGGTTGTTCTTTAAAGAAGCTGTATGAATGCACATTCCTACCTCACAACAGGAATATATGAGCATATCCAATTCCTTATGTTGGTGTCAAAATATATAATTAAATGTCTTCATTCCTTCCCTGTTTGATGAATCTTTTTCCTAATTACCAGTGAGATCAAATACTTACTTGTTGGGCCTTGGTAATTCTGGTCTTCTAACTCCAAGTTGTTATTTTTTTTTGCTAATTATTCTATGGGATTGTCATTCAATGATTTGTACATTCAGAATTTCTTAATTCTCACATGCAGTGGTGCAAGAGGTTTTAGGTCATGTGTACCATGGCAAGTCCTCTGCTGACAACAGAAAGAGGGCTGGATCAGTGTTTCTCAACAATACTGTTTCACTTCCTAATAGGTGAAAACCAAGGCACTAGCAGGCGAGGCGACTGAAATGGAGAGAACAAAGCTGGCATTTGTTGGGGTAGCCTCCACATCTGGCCTTAAATCACAGCTTCCAAAGGCTCAAAACAACACAGGGAGAGATTTCTACTCTGGGCCATAACAAAATAATGGGTCTCAGACTAGTTTTCCTGCCATAAACAACTATTAAAATGGGGCAAATACACAAGGCAACTATTTTCAGGCAACACACAAGAGATAGCACAAGGCTGCAATGACTACGAAAAGAGAAGTTCACAAGATGACACCCAGGATCACCTCAACTCTCTCTGCCACAATAATTCTGACTATGGGGGAAGGAGCTAGAGCTCAACAGAACACAGTGGATCCACTGAGCGTGGAGGCAGAGACCAGATTGCGGGGCTATTGAAACAGATGGAATCTGCAAGCTAGGCATGAGAATATGGGGAGCTGCACTAGAGGGGAGTAAAAGTCTTCTTGGGATTGCGATGGCTATGCATGCTCAAGGAAGGATTGCATCAATCTTCCTGGAAAGTGGATAAAAAGGAGCACAGACTTGAGAGGTTGAGCAATGCTGAGAGTCACTGAAGTTCCAGCCCCACCAGAATAGAGATCTCTACAACATTCGAGGCCTCTGGATAAAAGCTACAACTTAGGAGTAAAAACCTTGCCCTAAGTAAGGCCCACTCAAATCCCACCAAAATAAAGCCTAACACCAAACAGCAATAGTATTAGCAGAGGAAGCTGGGCATGGTGGTGCATGCATATAAACCCAGTACTTAGGGAGGCTGAGGCAGGAGGATCACAAGTGTGAGCCCAGCCTGGGCAACTTAGTGAGACTATGACTCAAAATAAAAAAAGAGCTGGGGATAACTCAGGGTGAAGGCTCTGGATCCAATCCCTAGTACTGTCCCCCTCCCAATAAAAGCAGAGAATAAGGAGCTTAGAAGTTAAGTGCAACTTAGTTAAAGGAATTTGAAGAACATCTTGGGCTTTCCATAGACCTGTCCTTAAAAAATTAGGCAAAACTAATCCTATATCTACTCAAGGTGATTGGTCAGTAATTGAGCTACCTACAGGGGAAAAAAAAAATCAATATTCTTCAGAAAAAGATAACAAAATCTGGAGTTTGTACAATGCAACATCCACAATGTCCAGTACACAATAAAAAAACTAGTAGATATGCAAAGAAATAGGAAAATGTGACCCATAGTTAAAAAGAAAAGCAATCAACAGAAACTGGACAAGATGTTGGAGATAATAAAGAAATGCTGGCGATAGTAAAAAAGCACTTTTAAAGCAGCTATTATACATTTTTGAGGAACATATATGAATATAATATGTATATGTTATATACATTATATATTATATGTAAGTATACATAGTTTATATTTATTTGTACATATATATTTAGCGATCAAATAGTTTTAAAAGACCTAGATATGACATATTTTGAAACTATCAGACAGAACATTTAAAACTACTACACTTTAAATGTTAAATGAGTTAAAGGAAGGACAATACGTAAAACTAGAAAGTATTTCACCAGAGACATGGAAACTGTAAGACTCAAATGAAGCCAGAAATTAAAATAGTAATAGAGATGAAGAATGCTTCTAATGGGCTCTTTGCAACTTGGTATAGTGAGGAAATATCCTGCAGACACACTGATAGAAATTACACAAATGGAATCGACAAGAAATAAAAGTTAAAAATCAAAATAAACAAAATAAAAGAGCATCGAAGAATTATTAGGACTCTATTAAATGGTTTAACAAGCACATATTTGGAATCTCAGAAGAAGAGAAGGCAAAAGAAATATGTGAAAAAATAAGAATTTTGTACAACTCATGACAGATACTAAACCACAGACACATAAACCTCTGAGAACCTCAAGTAGAATAAATAACAAAAAAATGTTACTTAGACATGGTTATCTTCAAACTACTAAAAACAAAAGATAAAGATAAAATCTTGATAGTAGTCAAATAAAAAAGAAACATTAGAGAGGAACAAAAGTAAGAATTACACCAGACTTTTCAACAGAAACCGTGCAAGTAAAAGGATGACATTTAGACAGAAAGAAAGGAACAAAAGAATAAACTGTCCACCCAGTCTTCTGTATCCACTGAAAATATTGTTCAAAGATGAAGGAGAAACAAAATCCTTTTTCACGTAAACAAAAAGTGAGGGAATTTGTTGCTAGTACCTCTATTCTATGAGAATGCTAAATTAGGTCATTTTGGCAGAAACAAATATGATATTAGGCTGAAAATTAGATGTACACAATGAAATGAAAAAAGCTGAAAATAGAATAAATGAAAGCAAAATAAACTTTTTTTTTCTTATTTTCATTTCTTTAAAAGACAACCAAAGCAAAGATTAATAGCAACTATTTTGTGTTTAAAGCATATGCAAAAATAAACTATATGACCACAAAGGATGAAAGACTGTAACTGAAAATAAGCTATTATAAGAGCTTCACATTACATATGAAGTGGTATAATATTTGAAAATAGGCTCAGATTATTTAAAAATGTGTACTGGAAATAAAAGGGTAAACATTTAACATATTGAGACCCGGTCTCAAAAATATCGAAACAAAAAGCAAAAAAAGTCTGGCACTTCATAAAGAGAAAAGGTTCACTTAGCTCAAGATCCTGCGGCTAGACGGTCCAAACAGCACGGTGCCAGTGTGCTACACCACAGAATGGCGGAGCGGGAACTGGCCAAGTGCAGAAGGGGCATGTGTGCAAGCAAGAGGCCAGTCTCACTGTTCTCATAGCAACGCTCTCTTGTGGAAACTAATTCGCCCTACAAGACCAGACCCAGGCCTGATCCACTCCTGAGAGACGGAATGAATCCATCCAGGAGGGTGAAGCCTTCAAGATCTAGTTACTTTAGTTTAGCCCCACTTCTTAGGGGCTGCATTAATATTCCCGTACTGGGAACCAAGCTTATAATATATGAACATTTGGGGCTGGGGATTTAGTGGTTCTGGCGCCTGCTTCACAAGTGCAAGGTCCCGAGTTTGATCCCCAGTACCAAAAAAACACACAAAAACCCAAAAACAAATATATGAACCTTTGGGGGACAAATCATACCCAAACCATAGCATGTTGCTATATTAACATAGACCTCAGAACAATGAAAATGACCAGGATATTATGTAATGACAGAGGAGACAATTCTCCTTCGCATGATTAATTTGGTCAGTTTGTTACAGAGGTTGAAGTCATACATTTTCATTAAATCACACAACATTTAAAGGATGTGTATGTAAGTTTAAAAAGTGGCTGCTTCATTTCTATAGCTGTGAGAAAAGTTCCATTTTCCAAATTTACAAGAGATGAAGAAAAGATTAAAAAGGAGAGCTGGAAATAATCTTTACAGGTTCTGTACCTGCTCTACATTTTGCAAATAAAGAAATACGGCTCTCTGGCTCCTGAGCTTCAGCAACTTGCCTAATTCCCACTCTTTTGGCTCTGCTAGTGGCTTCCAAACTGTGTTCCCCGGTAGCACTTGAGGGGTCACGTTGGTGGGGTTGGGCCATCCACAAAGGGCCACAGTGGGTAGCCGACTCAGCCCTTTTAGATATGTAGATTCTGTAAAATATTTCATTTGGAAAGGGGGTTCTGGTGCTTAAAAATAAGTCTGAACATGACTATCTTTATCACAGTGGCCCTGTGCAGATATTTAAGGATTTTTGTTTTTGTTTGCAGTGGTGGGGATCAAACCCAGGGCCTCAAGTATACTAGGCAGGTGCTCTTCTATACCCCTAACCCTAAATATTTTTTGAAAGTACAATCAATCAGGCCCGGGATTTAGCTCAGAGGTTCTGGTGCCTGCCTCCCAAGTGCAAGGTCCCGAGTTCAATCCCCGGTACCAAAAAAAAAAAGTACAATCAATCACCTAAAATGTAGCTTTTTAAAACTTAGGCAACGAAAAACAAAATAGTTGTTTCTTTCAAGGAAGTAAAATTCAGGTCTCCCCCCTTCTGAAGCAATCATCCTTCCAGGCTGCTGACACAAGTTGTAACATAAATGCCTTGCACAAACCCACTATCTTCACAGAATATGGGTTCCAGGCAGGATCACTGGTGGTTGACATTGAACACTGACTAGGTAGAAATCTTTTCAATTTAATGTTTAACATATAGAGATGTAATCATACTCACAAGAAGGCCTGAAACATCAGAATACTTCTTAGCTGGTTTAAAGGATGGAGGAGCATCGATACTGAAGTCTGGAAAAAAGGAAAAAGATGACTAAACTGGCCTGAAGACATTCTAATTCCTTCTCTTTCTTTCTAAAATAACATTTGACTATAATCCCAGCAGTTGGGAGGCTGAGGCAGGAAGATTTCCATGAGTTCAAGGCCAGCTGGAGCTACACAGTGAGCTCAAAGATAGCCTGAACTACAGAGCAAGACCTTGTCTCAAAAAGAAAAATTAAGTTAAATTAAAAAAATAACATTTGATAATATTCCTGACATTTTCTTCCTTGGTTATGTACTCACAGAATCCCTTGGGGGTTAACCACAGAAGTAAAGGAGGAATCTTAGAAATAGTACACTGTGTCATAAGCCAATTGCTAGCTCCACATCTAGCCCTGCCCTGTCACCAGGGACTCTATTCTAGCAGAACTGCTGGAAAACTCATCCATCCACAAGCTACTTTTACAGTTTTAGGCTGCATGGGTTGGTGGTGATGAAATGCCAAACAAGCCACTGCCTGGATCTAGGCACCCAGACATCCACACCCTGCTGACTGGTTAGCTTACGTGTCAGCCGTGAGTCACCTCCAAGAAAGATGCACAGCAGGACAGGAAGTAGAGGCATCTTTGAACCTGTATTTCCCAATGACGCTGAACAGAACATGTAACAGCGTTTTAGATAGATTTGGACATCCTGAATCAGAAAGTGTTTACTCTGAAAGGCACTGGCTCAGGGAGCAAAAGCACTGGCCTTTAGGCTGGTTGTTAGAAACTCTTGTAAATCTGGCATTAGACTTGGGCTACTTTGTTTCTGGAAACAAATTTTAAGAATAGGCTTTTGAATAATAAGCTTTTCTAAGAAAAACATCAATATTAACCTGTCAGAACCTATTTCTCCTAAATGAAATTTCACAGTGACACTAAAAACCACACACTCATGACAACACAGATTCAACATATAACGGTTAAGGGAAAATAAGCACATAATATCCCCTGATTGTGGCCACCATAAAATTTTCAGGCTGAAAACTGTTTCCTACAATAACAGGAACCCAATAAAATAACATAGGTTTGTTGTAAGAAAGTTACTAGTCTGGGCATTATAAACACATGGAAGACTCTAGACAGCTCACAGTTAGGATCGTTCAGTTGCCAAGGCAATGCCCTTTCAGCAGCGAGAATCTGTTTCAGGTTCTTCCAGGTTCTGTTCTTCTTGCCAGCTATGGCACCACCATGGCCAGAGTGCTGAAATTAAAAACATGGATCAGAAGAAACAAAAAATCAATGGATACTACCATTTAAGAATCTGACATTTATGCTTAATCATAACTGTCATTCCATCAGCCATCATTGGTACCCGAGACCTTTTAAAAAAAAGTATTTCACTTACACTTTAATCTTTGTTTTTTATTTTTATTTTATTTATTTTTTGGTCCCAAGGATTGAACTCGGGTCCTTGCGCTTGCGCAGCAGGCGGCGAAACCACTGAGCTAAATCCCCAGCCCCATAATCTTTGTTTTTTAAAAGAAGGTTTTGGACTGACAAAATTCATTAGTGGTGACAGAATAGAAATAAAAGGCTATTCCACATGCACAGAGAAAATCAAATCCTTTATTGGGTCTAACTTTGCAGAATTCACTCATGACCTCATCATTTTAAAATAAATTTACTAAAAAGTTAGATTTAACCTCATGACTATAGTTCTAAACTCCCTTCTGAGGGCAAATCTCAAGTCTCTGCCTTGCAAATTACTAGTGATCCACGAGAACTCAAGTAAGCTTCAATCATGGCATGGCAAGCCTTCTGGAAATCTTTTTTATTTTCTTGTTCTATGAAGATTACAAAATAAAATCGAAAAGACTACAAAATATTGGTAACACTGTATTTCTAAAACTCATTCATAAAAAAATAAACTTTCAATGGCATAATCTGAATTGTTGTAATTTATTATATCCTTCAAGAATGAAAGGATAAGTATTCTCTTTCTACTTCACAGTACAATAATTTAGATTTACTTAAGAAAACTGAGGAACACTCTTAAATATTTCAAGCCTCATCTAAAACTTACATAACACCAATAAAAAGGGAAAGAAGATGCATCATGCAAATGACCCACCCTGAAAATATTATCCTTTAGTGAATTCCACAAGGGTCACCAAAGTCCTCAGGGTCTGGAACATTAGAAGATGAAGAAGGGCCTTTCTTCTCCCATCCCCTCCTTCCCACCACAGCTCAGGGGGAGAAGGTGGCAACTTGGCCAGAGGGAGAAGAGGCCGCTAGAGCCACCTCAGCTGCAGCACCGGCACGCTCAGAGGACAAAGTATGTCTTTTTTAATTAACAGAATACCTTAGATGCTTACCACAAAGTTGGGATCCTTAAATGGCAAAGGTTTGGCAGCTTTTTCCACAGGTCCTGTGCTAAACTCAGAGGACACCATTTTATTCTCACTCATGGCTTCCATGCTGACACCCTTAAAACACAGTAAGAAGAGTCTGAGGTCAACTTCTCTCAGGTTCCCCACTTCTGCTCTTAACAAAACAGGACATGCAAAGGAAGACAATGAGCCCAGAGCTCCAGCAGGTACCCAGTCCCAGATGAGGCCCTGCCAGATGAGGAGCACTGCTCTGCAGAGAAGCCCCCAGGAGAGACAGGCAGGGCCACAGCTGCCATGTTTCCCAGCTGCCCTTTGTGCTGTGCTCAGGGATGGCTGTCCTACATGAGCTGGAATTCTGAAAGGTGCTACAAAGGAGGTGCTACTGTCCTCACTTTATAGAAATGAAAACAGGCTCAGCATGATGGGTTCAAGGCCACATGAGTAGACCTTTAGATTGACCTTTAGATTCAAACCCAGGTCAGGATGATTCTAACCCACAATTTCCATCACACCACACAATCCCAACTCCTGGTGATCTTGTCAAATGTGCCTTAAAATATTATGGCAAAAGGGTCTAGTCCTTGAAGGCGCTAGTCAGCCAGAAAACCCAAGCTGCAGCTGGAATGTGTAAATGGCACAACAGGACATGGGCATTCTGAGAAAGGAAAATGGAGAGGAAGCTAGAGGGCCACAGGTCAGCTGGCTGCAGCCAAAGTGCCCTGACCAGCTGGCTGATAGCTTTAAAACCCTTTAAGCTAACACTCACAAAGGAGCAAACCAAAATAAGAAACAACTTCTGATCCCTAATACAATTTCTAATCTTCCCAGACTACTTTTTTAAAAAACCGAGATAGGGCCGGGGATTTAGCTCAGTGGTTTTGCCGCCTGCCCTGCAAGTGCAAGCACAACCGCAAGGACCTGAGTTCATCCCCGGTACCAAAAATAAATAAATAAATAAATAAAAAACCCCTGAGATACAATGTATATACAGTGAAGTGCAGAGATCTTAGGTGTAGCTTTCCTGAGTTTTCTAAGTGTTTCCAATAGTGTAAACCAAATTCCGACCAAGATGCAGAACAGTTCCACAATCCGAGTTCTCTCATGCCCCTTCCTGGTCAATACCTTTCACGTTGTTACATGTATCAGCAGTGTGTTTCACTATTTACTCACTACTGGGCAGAGTAGAATTCCACTATATTTATATGCTAAAATTCATCCATTTTCCTATTAATGAACACCTGGTTTATTTTCAGGGCACAGCTATTACAAATAAAGCTGCAGGGCCAGGGATTTAGCTCAGTGGCTCTGCTGCCTGCCTCGCAAGGCCAAGGTCCCAAGTTCGATCCCTGATACCATAAAATAAAATAAAGCTGCTGTGGTGTGTTTTTATTTCTCTTGGGTGAATACACAGGAGTGGAGTGATTACGTTATCAGGTAAGTGTATTTTTAATTTTACAACAAGATTGTGTATGTCTGCATGTGTTCGTGGGCGCAAATGCACATGCGCATTCCTGTCCCCTCCACGGAATCTGTTGGGGGGGAGAAGAGGCATTAATTGTGTTGCAACAGTCCTCTGAATGGGCTCCTCAAACACTGTCCCAGACTCCTCTCCAGGGTGTCACTACATGGGCCTGGGCTCCAGCCAGAGCCTGGAACCCGTACTTCGGCTCCTCTTTTCACACTGCCTCCTCTGTCTGGGTGGCCTCTCCCCTCAGCCTCCCTCAATCCACAGTCTTTCCTAACTGCCATCATATAAAACCTGTGGTTACACTGAAATTGCTCTTTTAAGAGGTAGTGGTCCTGGTGCAAAGAAGTAAGACCAGGCCACTGACCAGAGGAACATGAGGGGAGTAGTTCTGAGACTTGCCAGAGTTAGAAGAGACCACTCTGCCAAGCAGCCTAACTATTCCCAAGGGTTCACCAAAAGACGACGCAGCAGAAAACAGATCAATGTCCTTACACTGTCAAGAGGCCAGGGCCACTGGGTGGGGAGGTATATACCACAACCGTAAGAATCACCCAGTGGGCATCTCATTAGAAAAGGGAAGAAAAGTCATCTAGAGAAAATCAAAATTTAATCCAGGGAAAACAGGTGGAATGTGAATGAGATTTCCTGGGGCCAGATACACTTAAATTCATCTTTATTGTTTCATTTTCCATAAAGGATATGACTACTGATACAATACTGTTTCCACCTGGGAGAAACAAACTAAACTGCTACAGAAGAACTGCTACAAAGAGGAGATTGTAAAGCAAAATAAAATCCAAACCTCAAGGCCTTGACAGTGATTACAGGCACACCCCTGGAGTGTGCCCAGCTGCAGGGCCCCATCCTCAGAGAATGCAATTAGCCTTTTTCTTCTACTCCAGAAATGCTACAATACTGCATTTCTCCCTTTCTCTTTATTTCCCTTCCGTGATTCTTACTGGGGAAGCACAAAAGCCTTGAGTACTCAGTGAAAAGAAAGGGGTGCTGGGGATTCTTCTGACATAGGCTTTTTTGACCCAAGGCCCCAGGAGACAGTGTCAGGGAGCAGTACCTGACTGAGATTCAGGCAAGAGAGCTTCCCAGAGGCCGCTAGGAGACACAGGTACTGCAGCAAGTCAGCACAGGCTGGACAGTCTGGAAGTTCTGCCAGGCGAGAGGGTACTACACAACAGACACATCTGCTGACAGGAAGGGGAGGGTGGCATGATGAGAGAGCCAGAAGTTAGCCATGCCAGGCAGCAAGCTAAAGAAGTCAAGAAAGGAATCAAGATGATGCACTGAAGCATGGATTTTTTAAGTGGATCTCTTGCGCTGCAGAGCTCACACCATCTTCTGCTCTTCCTTGTTCAGCAGCAGGCACCCAGGTAAGTCCAGCTGAAAGGACCCAGAGGGGAAACCACCCTAAAGTGCAGAGCCAAAGGGCTCCTGCCTGAGAGTGGAGGGCTCTCTTGCTTCTTTAATCAGATACACACCCACATGAGGTCCAGAACTGGTTTTCTTTTCATCTTTCCTCTTCAACCCTACTCCCACACCCATGTTACTCCAGCTTGTTCCTCCCTTCCCCTCGGCTTCAGTCCAGTGGAGACTTCAGTGTCTACTAATGACAGGATGAAAAGGAGAAGACCTTAGTCAAAGGGAAGATTAACTTATGAGGCTCATATGCAATGAAATAAAATTTAAGATGATGTATAGTTTCTCTATTATGAAAGCATTATTAACACTAAGAGACTTTATGAGATGAACTGTCCTGCCTCAAGTCATGAATGCCCTAAGGACAGGAGAGGAAGTAACGCCTAGACTAAGGGCTGTTCCTGCTCAACACCACTGGGAGCTGATGTAACTCACAGGGGAAAGAAACCTGGTCAGCTTTCTTTCTTTTTCTTTCTCTCTCTCTCTTTTTTTTTTTTTTTTTTTGTGGTACCAGTAGCACTAAGCTACAAGCTCAGCCTTTTTTATTTTTCCCTTGTGAGATAAGGTCTTGCTAAGTTGCTCAGGTTGGCCCAGAACGTGCAATCCATCTGCCTCAGCCTCCCAAGTAGGTGAGATTGCAGACATCACCACACCTGGTCTGGTATGCTATTAAAGAAGCACATGTCTGTCGGCAACAGATTGGAGTCAGCAAGCCTGGGGTCTCAGTCTGCTCTGCCCAACTGTAGGGCCCAAATAAATGGCGCTGTCTCTCCAGACAGCAGCTTGCATGACTCAGACTCAGACTTCAGGATAACTGGGGCCTTCTGTCTGTGGTTACAGGGAAAGGAAACAAATGTCTTTTGTCTTGTCACTGAAAAATCAAATACCAGCTACATCTGTCTTATAGTAGTCTACATTAAAAAAAAATGGCTGTAGTTTAAAACTACAGAGATACACGGGTTACTTAAACTGGCAAAAAGCTGATGGTGGGGGGGCACACCTGTGATGGTAGCACTCGGGAGGCAGAGGCAGGGGGATCGCTGCAAATTCAAGGCCAACCTGAGCTAACTAGTGAGTTCATGACCAGCCTGAACTACACAGCAAGACTGTCTCAAAAAAACAAAAACCAAAAGGGAGGTTAAAAAACTGGCAAAAATGCCAGATGCAATCTAAATATTCAATTATTCATAAAGAGTTTATTAGACTTTGTAAAATCTAATTGAGAGGACTACCAACACAGAGAAATGTTCCTAAAATAATGCTAAGTAAAAAACAGGTAAATAATGTTATACACCAAATACATCATAAAAACTACATCTAGCTGTAGAAAAAAATAACATGGCCAAGTTATTTTAAATAAACTCTAAAAATACTCTAATATCATCCTATGTAAACATCCTTTGTAAATTTTTAAATCCCATGAAAGTTTCATCCACTTTGTTTTTAAGAAACAAAATAGGTGAAATTATTGAAGTAGGAAAATTCAGGTGCTGAAAGATCTGTAAAATCCCTCTAATTCAAGAAATGCAATCATTTATATAAAAACTCACTTCCCTGCTGATGAAACCTTGGGCAACCAGAGTTAATCTAATGCCCAGAACTCTGAGCCTGGAATACTATCCCCATTTAATTCCACCACCCTTCAAAGTCAACCTCATGTCCCTCTGCCCCTTAGCTTCTTCTTTAACTATCATTGCCTGAGTCATCTTTTTCTGTCCTGTTACAATAAGGTACCAACATGGGAGAATATCTATGATTGGCTTTAGCTCAAGGTTAGAAATTCTGTCTTTCCAGTTGATTCTTATATGTCATATGTAGGAATTCCAGCACATCCCCACATGTACATATGCTTCCCAGTCATTCAAGCAAACACTCATCTAGGACTGCTGTGAAGGGATTTTGCAGACATAATTGAGGTCTCAAATCAGCTGACTTTAAATAAAGGCGATTATCCAAGTGGGTGTGCTCTAATCACATAAATCTTTTAAATCTAAATCCAGTGGTCAGAGATAAGAGAAATCAGAGATATTTGACTGAGAGAGGGATCAGACACAGGAAGATTCTCCATAGGAATGTTGGCAACAGCCTACTGCCAGCAAGGAGATAGGGACCCACAATCTCCAAAGAAATGAATTCTGTCAACAATCTAAATGAACCTAAATACAATTTTTGCCCAGATCTTTTAGACAAGAATTCAGCTTGCTGATTTTTCATTTCAGCTTTGAGATACATGAGGAGAACCAACATGTCTATCTTATCCCAGGACTTCTGACCTATGGAATATGATCTAATAATGGGTATTAACCCACTAAGTTTGTAGTAATTTGTTAACAGCAACAATAGAAAACTAATAAAATATGTATCTATCATCTCTTCTCTTGGGAGATTTTTGGGAGGGTGGGACAAGCTCTTTTGAAATGTCTTAAGCAAACTGCTGGGGACATAACTGAAATACAGTACTACACCATCCATTCTTGCTGCTTGAACTGAACTGAACTAAAACAGAGAAGTTGTGCAGATGAGGGTCATCTCAGGAAAATTCCAGGCAGCTCTCAAGGGGTTACTGTGTTGATAGCTGCATATGCTGTGGATCAGGGAACCAGGGCAGGACAAAAATCCAAGGCTTACTTCCAGAGACAGAAGCCAAGTTCTTTTCTTTCCTCATGGGATGCTGAGGACAGAAGTGGGGTAACTGGTTACTACATCTCTTAAAACGCTAGCTAGGAAGAGAAGAGTCAAGGCAAAAGAATTCACTATGCCAGGAAATGCCTTGCTCTTTCCAGCCTCTCCTGAAGGGGCTGCTGAAACAGAGGTCCTCATGGGATATCTAGTAGGTTGCCCTTTTCCTCAGTGAGGGTCCTGAGGTCACCAGAATTGAAATTTCTATCACGTTGGGTTATTGGAAATTTCCATCATCCGTAAGTCATGTGGCCACTCTCTGAATTGTTGTGATGGGAGTTGTTCAATGCTATCCAAGTCCTTGTGTCCAAACGAAAGGGTCAAAAGAGTAATGAGTTCGATCCCTGGTACCAAGAAAAAAAAAAGAGTAATTTCTCTGAAAATGTACCGGCTACATTACGCGATCTTGGCACAACTGAATATCAAAATATATCATGGACATACTGGGGGTACTCACAATCTGACAAAGGACTCTAATCACGAGTATACGAGGCGCCAGGGATTTAGCTTAGTGGCACTGTGCCTGCCTGGAAAGTGTGAGGTCCCGAGTTTGATCCCCAGTACCGCCAAAACATAAGCCAAATTGTTGGCTCCAAAAAGGTTTCTTATTGGTTCTGCCGCCTGCCTCAAAAGTGCAAGGATCTGAGTTTGATTTCTGGTACCAAAAAAAAAAAAAAAAAGAGTAAATGAGAAACCCACACATATCAATTTTTTTTAATTATAAAACAATCAAGACACTTCACAACAGATATTAGAATGGTCAGCACATGAAAAGGTGGTTAGTATTAGCCATCACAGAAATATAACTAAAACAGTGAGTGACCACTATCTATTCAACAAAATTTCAAGACTGGCAATGCCAAGAAGATACAGAACTGGAATTCTCATACTCTGCTGGTAAGAATGCAAAATCGTGAAACTATATTGGGAAATACCATTTAACAGCTTCTTAGTTAAATGTGTGTCTACCTTCTGATTCACCAATTCCACTAAAAACCAAGAGAATGGAAAGCATAAATCCACACAAAGACTTGTTTGAACAAGAATGTTCATTGAAGTTTATATATAAAAGCGAAAATCTGAACCAGACGCAGTAGCTCACGCCTGTAATCCCAGCACTTGGGCGACTGAGGGAGGAGGATTGCTGGGAGTTCCAGGTCAGCCTGGACAACATAGTGAGACCTTGTCTAAGAAAAAATAAAGTGCCCAAACCTGTAAACTATTCAAATGTCCAGCAGCTGATTATATAAAGTATCAATATAAGAATGAGTCTCAAAAATACAGTTTCCTAAGGGAACTCAGAAGGCCACAAAAGAAAGTATGTTCCTCAATTCCCAATAATAACAACAACAAAAAAGTATGTTCCATATGATCCCATTTATATTATGTTTGAGCAGATTAGTGATTATCTCTGGTAGGGGCAGAAGAGAGTGGTGACAGAAAAGGTAACAGGGAATTTACTGAGGCCCTTAGGTTTTTTGAGACTGGGTTTCACTATGTAGTTCAGGCTTCCCTTGAACTCACTATGTAGCCCATGCTGGCCTTGAACTCGAAGCGATCCTCCTGCCTCAGCCTCCCAAGTGCTGGGGTTACAGGCATGTGCCACTAGGCCCAGTTCAGTTTTTTTTTTTTTTTTTTTTGAGACAGGGTCTCGCTATATAGCCCAGGTTGGCCTTGAACTCACCATGTAGCTCCAGCTGGCCTCGAACTTGCAGGGATCCTCTTGGCTCAGCCTCCTCAGAGTGCTGGGATTACAGGCGTGGGGGACCACGCCCAGCTACTTAGAGATCCTTAGAGCTGCTATCTTAGCTGAGCTTCAACCACAGGTGTATAAACAAACTAGGTCAGTGATTTGTACTCTTGATTTGTGTGTTTTACCGCATGCAAACCTTACCCCAATGGTGTACTAAGAGGCTGGAGAGCGCTACCAAATATGAGGGCAGTAACCATCTATACAGAACAGTCGCTGGGCAAACCTGACACTCCAAGAGCGGTGGTGCACCAACACTCCACCTTTGCTCTCTTACTGCTGTGAATACCGTGTCGGACCAGCGAAAATACTAACCCTTTCAAGCCACCGTGTTGAAAATTCTTTGTGGAAACTGCAGAGCCTGGATCTCCGAGATTACTTTAAATCTGTGCCATAGGCTGTGCTCAGTGCTTTATAGTCATTTCATCTAATTCCCTTAACCTCAAGAGGAACCCGCTTGAGGAAAAACTGAGGGTCAAAAAGCACGTTCCTGAGGACGAGGGGAACCGTACAGATCAACGGGATTTCGTATTTCTCCACGGAGGACATTAGGGCACTTTGCACCTCTGACAGTCCCTGTAGTTAGAACGCAGGAGAGACCCACCCACTTCTGAAAAACTGTCCGGTGTCTCGCTCGAAAAGCGACCTTGAGAAGAGGCGGTCTTCGGCTATCAGTTATGACCTCTCTTTTCCCCTCACAATACAAAGCGGTGTCTCTTTAACCAAATCTCGCGTGTACAACTGAAGGGGAAAAAAATATTCACACCTAGAACTAGAGACTACCTCAAAGCGCAGCGCGCCACACCCAACACTGCGCGCGCTCCCGCCCCTGTCTCGCGATCCCACGCATGCATTCTCGTTCCCACCCAGCCCCGCGCATGCGCAAATTACGAATGCGACGGAGTACCTGTGCAAAGCCAGAGCTGGATACTTTTTTCTTCTTACTGGCGCCATACCCCGCTCCGCTGCTGCCGTTGTGGGAAGGGCTGGCCGGCCTCTTCTTGCTGTTCCGAGCAATCCCTGGAGTGGAAGTGGCAGCCACAATTGGAATTTGAGCCGCCATCCTACCCTGTGTTTGTTCTCTTGCTCCCCTCCCCCTTTCTTAGTGCGGGCTCTGGAACTTCCGGCTCACGCTTACTTCCGTCTTCAGGCTTGAAAACCCGGCCTGGATTCGGGAAGAGTTCTCTGACTTCTCTCGGTGAAATACAAAAGGCGGAGCTCCTAGCAGTCTGTCTCCTTGGTGCGGGAAGGTGTCAGTGGGGCGGTGCCCTGCTACCCTGGTATTCAGAGTCGGCCTTGGGGCACGTGACTGGAAATCCCCAGTGAACCTCTGATCTTTAAAAATAACTGTGTTTTTTAAAATTAATGATAGCGTTGCCTTTCCTGACGTTGAGTCAGACTGGTCACTTTTGATGTCTGAGAATAGAAATTGTCCACTATCAGTAGACCAGATAGATCTCCAAACTGTTAGCGTTCCCTTGGTCACTCACTGCTTTCTCTGGAGGAAGACGTTTGTGTATCAATACCGCCCAAATGGACTAGTGTTTCTTAGCATTTTAGGGGTGAAAGACCCCTTTGAGCTGTAAACTACTATCCTTGGCGTTTCTGCACTCCTCTCACAGCGTTTTACGCTTCAGATTTTAGGGAAGACATAGACGTACTGAAACCTATTTTAGAATCTGTTCCACTCCTTACACTTTGCCTCATACCCTATGTTTCTTCAGAACTTTTATGACATACAGCTCAATGGTTTATAATGGAGTGGTTAATGTCTTTTGGCCCCTGCTAGAAAGCAATCTCTGAGGGGAGGTCAATTATATCTTATTTGCTTATCTGTCCTCAGTCAAAATACCTTGAAATCAATGGTCGTTGTTTTAATTAAGTAAATAATAAGTGAATAAAGTCAATGCAGAGTCTAGTTGGAAGCTAAAGTGACATATGAATCCAGGTATTTGAAAGAAATAGGCTATAGAATGATTTAGAGATGAAAGACTGTCATGGAAACCAGCAATATCATTACTGTTATGGTTTGATCTAAAATGTCTTCCAAAAAAATAAAATGTCTTCAAACCCAGAGTGATGGTGCATGCCTATAATCCCACACTTGCCAGGCTGAGGCAGGAAGATTGCTGCAAGTTTGAGGCCAGCCTGGGCTACACTGTGAGCTCAAGACAAGCCTGCACTACAAAATGAGTCTTTGTCTCAAAAACAACAACAAAATAAAAAAACAGTGTCTTCCAAAAGCCATGTGCTAAAGACTTGGTTGTCAGATGATGGACTTCGGGAAGTGATTGGATTGTGAGGGCTCTGATTTCCTCAATAAGTTAAAGCACTGATGGATTCATTACTTGATGGCATTATTAGGAGATGATGAAAATTTAGGAGGTGTAGTTGAAGGGAGTGGGTCATGGATGTTCCCCCCTATCCCCCTTCCCCTGCACTGTGAAGAGTTAGTTTGCTCCACCACATGCTGGCTCCCATAATGTGCTGCCTCACCATGGACCAGAGGCAAAGGAACCAAGTGACTAAAACTGTAAGCCAAAGAAACCATTCCTCCTTTAAGTTATTTTCTCAGTTATTTTGTCATAGTAAAGAAAAGCTGACTAACACAGTTACATCTTTTCTCCTTTAGAGTTTGGAATAACCTACCAATGTTGAAATATTTTCTTCCACATTGGATATCTAATTCTATCCTCGACTAAATCCAATCTTTTACATATTACATATCTCAGAGACTCATGCCTCCAGCCAGTCAGCTAAGCAAACCCTCTCTGGTATCAGTCACCCACTCAGCTCTCTTCTTCACTGTTACTGCCCTCATAACTCCAGCTCCCATGTCTGGATCTGCACCAGTCCTCAGGTGGAAGTTTGGGTCTCCATCTTTTCCCAATTCATCCCTGATTCTAGACCAGTGATGGCAAACCTTTTAGAGTTTTCAGTGATACAAACAGCCTGCTGCAGCATGCATCCCATAGGTTCAACACCACTGTCGTAGACTATCCTTCCTACTGACTGCCAGAATGTGTTTTCTAAATCACCAATCTACCTATACCACTTCCTTCCTTATATTCCTCAAGGCTCTTTTACCTTTGGGATAAAGGCCAAATAATTTTTTAATTTTGGCATATAAGATCCTTAAGAAGTGGGCCTGACCCTCTTCTCTCCCTCCCTGACATCGAATTCCTGTGGTCCAGCTAGGAACTAACTGTATTTCTCAGGGTATACATTGTTCTTTTAAGTCATCATACTTTTGTTTTCATATTTCCTCTTGTAGGATTGCTTAGCTTTTGCCTAGTTACCATCCATTTTGACACAGTTCATATTTTACTATTAATGAGAAGCTTTCTACTACCTTACCCTCTTTCCCCTCTTGTTCTCATCTCCATTTTGTGCACGTGTTTTTGAGGGCATTGAGCATGGGACACTGCTGGGCTACTTTTTATATTTGTTGAATTTGAATGTCAGCTTACTACATCATCCTCTCTGCTCCTGTTTCAGTGTTTTCTATTTCAATAAATGCCACGTTTACCTAACCGTTGTTTAAACTGTGTCAAGGAAGTTTCCCTTGATACCTCCCCTTGATCCATCTCCATCCCTAACCCTATTCCAGCCACCATCATCTGTCTCTCTTGGATTGATACATCATCATATGAATTGTTTCTCTGCTTCTACCTGTGATCCCTCCAATCCAGTCACTACATACAGTTTGACATAATTTCTTTGAACACAAAATTGTGCATTTTTCAGATTATGACTGCTACCTGAAACCCTTCAGTGGCTTCTTATAGTTCCTGGAATGAAGCTCAATGTCCGTAAGATGATTTCAAAAGCTTTCAGAGACCTGATACCTCTTCAACTTTAACCTCCACTACCAGCCTCTGCATGCCTGCTCAGTTTTCACTTTTGTTGTCCCAAGGAACTAGGACCCTTCTTACCTGAAAGCCTACGCACACATTGCTCTTTCCTAAGGTGCTTTTCTCCCATTGCCACCCTTCTGCAGTCTCATTAACTTTTACTCATCTTTTTTATCTTGACTGAGATGCTATTTTTTAGCCTTTCCTAGCCAGCTGGTCCAGTTCCACGTACCTGGTCAGTCTTGGTCAACCAGTACCTGTTGATTGCCTGTTGATTATTCCTGAGCCTGGAGATAAATACAAGAAAAAGAACTATTCTTAGCTCCTGTTCTCAGAAAGCCCCCAATCTAGTAAGGAAGGAGAGACCTTCTATTTGTCTTCCCAGCTGGACATATGCTTTCAGTGGGCAATTACCAGAATTGTCAAGGATCGAGAAGCAAGAGCGTCCACAGATGATAGTAATAAGAAATATGAGAGAAATGCTTGAGGACATCCATGCAAGGGAGCAAAGGTTTTGAGCTGGTGAGAAACTGGCTCCATATCCATCTTAGTAGTACCAGTCACTGCCCAGTGTTCACCCATGGAGAGACTATACACTTTGCTGCATATATAACTCACGTTTCCTTATAGATAAACATTGATGACCCATATTTTGCTAGCTCGCAAGTTGAGACAGGGCCTAATAAGCCTCTACCAAATTCCCTCCTTGTCTCAAGGATAAGTCATTCTTTGCAAGGTGTGTCTTACTTCTGCCACACTGTGAGCCCTTTTGTGTGTTATCTCTTCTGCCTCTTTGCTTGTACCTCCAGCACCTATGTTCCTCACCAATGCCACGTTTCTTCGGACAAAGGCTGCTGGAGGCACTGTGGGATACCAATGACATGACTGAGACACCTCAGCCAGAGTCATGATCCTAGACAAGACTTAAGGATCATGAATAAATAATGTACTTGTTGAACTACTCCAAATCATTTGAGCCACAGAGTGCCCAGTTTATTGTCTCACAAAAATCTCAGGAAATGCAGTGAATATTTGGAATCATGTTGCTGCTCGATGGAAGACACATTGCATATCTTCTCAATAATGTGTATGAAGTATGCTAGTCACTGCTCACCCTATAAAAATGGCTGCTGTAGTTGACATGGGGCTCCTTGGTGACAGGAAGAAACTTGAAGCTGCTTCAGTTAAGACTTTCAAAATTGCCAGTTCATAGCTACCCAAAGGGGCAGCATCGTGTGCATTGTATTCTGAGCTATGAGATGTGCAGTTAAAACCAAACCTACTGCAATGAGAAGCTGATGAGATCAGTCACAGTCATCTCAGAAGTATAAGAGCAGCACTAGTTCTTGGCTTACCTCTGTGAGGGATCTTCTGGAAATAACCTGGGGTGGTTCTTTTTTTTTTTCTTTTTCTTTTTGCTGTTACAGGCCAAAGTATATGAGAGGTAAATGTCTGTGGGTCATAGGCTCATTTGGATCTCTGTCCCTGTTTTTAGTGTTGTAGGCACTCAATGACAATCTGCTAGATTCCTCATTATTTAGACAATCAGTATATAGTAAAAAGCTCTAGCCAGGGGGCAGGGGAAGAGCATTTCTTCGTTTTGCTTGCTTCTCACTTCATAGGCTGCATGAAAGTACTTACAGGAAGGAAAAAAGGAGTAAATGAAAATAGTCCTGACCTTAGCAAATGCAAGGTCCTGGGCAAAAATACACATGGGGGCTGACCTGCCATATGCCTTGACATTTCAGTGTACAAATCCAGCTGATAAACCATGAAATAAAATATGATCTTTCCTTGGCAAACACACTTTCACAAGTCAGAAGGCCAGGGTTGGATTAGGATGCTCAGATTCCTTGGAGTTCTGCTCCAGATGTGGCAGTGTAGAGAGAACTATCCCAGCCGGGCCCTCCTTTCATCCCTTGCTCCTCAAAGTCTCATGAAGGGACATGGGTACATAGTGTGGAAATGCAACCCA